GTGGTCACAGAGGTCCTTGTAGACAAGCTTAAGAGTTGGGATTCATCATTCAGTGGTGTAGGCCGAAACCCAATAGCAGAAGACTGAGGAGAAGATAGGGTGGGAGGAAGTAGGAATATGATGGAGAGCAGAGCCAGACACCAGATAGTGTTTGGTTGGGCTGAAGTGTCAAGGGGGAAGTTGAAGACACCAGATGGGATTGAAGGGTCCTGGATGTTTAGTGGAACAAGTAGAGGCAGCAGGACTTAGCTTTATAAAAGGCTAAGATCCTTCTTCTGAGACAGGCAGCAATGGAGAAAAGTGAAGATGTGAATGAGGTGGGTTATGGAGGAAAGGGAGGTTGAAAGCCTTGAAGCCTCTTGGCCTCTACTTTCTTGAAGTTTGGAAGGAAATGATTCGCTGAGAGTGAGTGTGCCTGGAGTGGGATTTTAGGGTTTAGGATGAGAGGTAGGGATTTGGACAATCCACTGTGGGAAATGCAAGAAATAGTTGATTTGGGAGGGGGTGGCCGGTGCCAAGGCCCTGTCTTGTCTCAGGTGAAGATGCCCGGCGGGGCCCGGTAGTTCTCGGTACAGCAGCCTGGACCCTGGAAACAAAAAGAGGGAAAGACAACTAGATGCACCCAGATACAAGGGGCTCAGGAGTCGAGGGTGCTGGTGCGATGTGGCTGGTGCAGGTGCAGAGAGGAAGAAGTGAAGTCGAGAAAAAGTTGACGGAGTCAGTCTTAAGAGAATAGGATAGGGTCGGGTTCCTGGTAGGGACCCAGAAACTCTAGGGAGCAGGTGAGATGAGAGTGAGTCAGGAGAGATGACCAAAGACTGTTGTGGCTGCAGGGGAGGGCACTTTGAGGTTCAAGATTTTATAGGATTATTTTATTTTTGTTTAACAGGAAGTAATTGTTTAAAAACGTTGCCTTAAAATTCTCATACTAGCTCAACAGTTTCTATTGTTGGCACAGATGGTGAGCAGTCTGCCCAGGGCTTAAGGGAGATTTTTCTTGAGAGCTCGGTTAAGGCCATATGATATTAATAGAGGGAGAAGCCAGTGTGTTTGTGTAAGTGGAAAAAAAGCAAGGTTTTAGCAAAGGCACAAGAGGTCTCAGCCAGTTCCCTGGAAACCTGTAGTTTTTCCTCATGGGGGAAAAAAACCCCACTAACATAAGCTCAGTGATTTGTATTTCTTTGCTTTTAAAGGTAAAACCAGTAATCCACAGCAGGATCAATGTGTCAGCTCGTTTTAGAAAACCGCTTCTGGAACCCTGCACTATCTTGTAAGTGGGGGCTCTTTACATTTTGAGTTGAAATTGGTGTGGTGATTTCCTTTTGGTTTAGGATTTATTTTGTAGTTTTAAAGGCATAAATGTGTCAAATGGTTTGCCTTGCTGGCTCCTGTTCTTTTTTTTCCCCCTAGCTTAATTGCAAATGGAGATCTCATAAACCCAGCTTCACGACTCCTCATCCCTAGAAAGGCCTTGAATCAGTGGGATCACATACTACAAATGGTCACAGAAAAAATAACTCTGAGGAGTGGGGCTGTCCACAGGTATGTTGAAGGAATCTTGCAAGTGG